TTTGTCAGGGGCTTCTACAAGCTAATAGTCATTTCTTGGAGTACTGCTACCCAGCAATGAAAATCCCAGAGAAACAAACATTTGCCAGCTCTAAATTCTGTTAGAAAAGCAAAAAGGGAAATTCGAATTTAAAGAGCTGAGCAGCTGAACAGCAAATATAAATATTAATTAAGGGAAAGGTGAGTTAGTTAGTATCAGTATTTTAAAGAGATTAAAGCAATTAGTGCTAGATATAAAATTTTACAGGGATCTTTAATGCGATTATAAGACTTTAAAAGGGATTTATCTAATCTACACAGCGAAGGAAACAAACTTTAGCTAACTCTGCGAGTCTCTAAATACACACAACTGGGGATATAATTGTATTCGAATTGTATTTAAAGGTGGCTATACTTTAGCTTGCTCAATGGCTAGCTTCTGTTTATTCTTATATACTTTAGACCTGCCTGTGCTAGTGTATATTTTTAGCACTTAAACACTTGGAATGCTTGTAATAATCCTAGCTATTCCATGTGCATCAAAACCTTTTGAATTTGAAATATTCCTAGCATATATTTGATACACATTTGTAGCGTTTACTTTTCCCATATATGTTTTATCCCGTTTTATCTTTTCTGTGCAGCCTGCAGCCACTGGACCAAATCAAAGACTACTTCGGTGCCAAGGTGGCATTGTACTTTGCCTGGCTGGGATTCTACACACAAATGCTGATACCCATTAGCGTATTTGGCTTGCTGTGCTTCCTTTACGGCTTCGTCACGTGGAGCAGTGATCCGATCAGTCGCGAGATCTGCGAGGACAGCGGCACGATCATGTGTCCGCAGTGCGATCGCAGCTGTGACTATTGGCGCCTCAACGAGACGTGCACGTCTTCCAAGTTTAACTATCTGATAGACAACAATATGACGGTGGTGTTCGCCCTGGCCATGGCCATTTGGTCGGTGACATATTTGGAGTTCTGGAAGCGATATTCGGCGGGTCTGGTGCATCGCTGGGGACTGACGGGATTCACGCACCATGTGGAGCATCCGCGACCACAGTATCTGGCAAAGATATCGCGCTCGCGGCGGCTGGCTGGCAAGACGCAGGGCGGCACCACACTCGATCCGGATGTGCCCTTTTGGAGCATCAAGTTCCTGCCCAACTTTACCAGCTACAGCATCATGGTGTTGTTTGTGAGTACACTAGACCCACGAGTCCCTTCTTAAAGAGCTCCCTTAATGATAATTTGGATGCTGTTTGTGCCATAGATTTGCATATCAGTGATTGCCATTGCGGGCATCATCATCTATCGAATGGCACAGCGTGCCTCGCACAGCATCCTTGGCAGCGAGAACTCAATGACCTTTAAGGTAATGATACTGCCCATGACGGCGGGCATCATTGATTTGATTGTCATCTCGCTGCTGGATCTGGTCTACTCCAATTTGGCCGTGCGCCTGACCAACTACGAATACTGTCGCACCCAAACGGAATACGACGAGAGCCTCACCATCAAGAACTATGTGTTTCAGTTTGTCAACTACTATTCGTCGCTCTTCTACATTGCCTTCCTCAAGGGCAAATTTGTTGGCTATCCGGCCAAATATAATCGGGTGCTGGGCTTCCGTCAGGAGGAATGCAATCCGGGCGGCTGTCTCATGGAGCTCTGCATGCAGCTGGTGATCATTATGGCCGGCAAGCAGGCTGTCAATGCCATTGTTGAGATGCTAATACCCTATCTGATGCGCACCATCAAGGAGCTGATCTATCGCCATGGCTGGTACAAGAGCCACAAGGAGCAGCGACTGGTGCCCTACAATCAGTTCACCGAGGACTACAATCTACTGCCCGCCGAGAATAATTCACTTTATGTGGAGTATCTGGAAATGGGTAGGTCCCCTCTCCCCTAACAAAATACCCAAAATATTATTTTATAACTCAACTCGTTCGCTCGCACTCTCTCTCTCTCTCTCTCTCTGTCTATCTCCCTCTTTGTGGTGGTGCTGATGCTGATGCAGTTGTGCAATTCGGCTTTATCACATTATTCAGCCTGGCCTTTCCGCTGGCACCGCTGCTGGCGCTGCTCAACAATGTGATCGAAGTGCGTTTGGATGCCATCAAAATGCTGCGCTTCCTGCGACGGCCCGTGGGCATGCGAGCCCGTGATATTGGCGTCTGGTACAACATCATGACCGTCGTCACACGCATAGCCGTGGCCTCTAGCGTGAGTATTAATAAAACATCAAAGTCAATCTACTGATATTTCTAAGCCTTACTTTTTTTTTTTTTGGTAAACCCTTGTTTTAGGCCATGATAATTGCATTTAGCACAAACCTCATACCGAAAATCGTGTACGCAGCCTCATCGGGCGACCGGGAGCTCAATGGCTATCTGAACTTTACGCTGGCGTACTTCAACACAAAGGACTTTCAGGTGCAGCCACTGCTGGGCGGCAGTCAGTATGTGAACGAGACGGAGTGTCGCTACACAGAGTTTCGGAATGCGCCCACAGATGATCATCCGTACAAGCGGCCCATGATCTATTGGAAAATACTGACGGGTCGTCTGGCCTTTATAGTCATCTATCAGGTATGCTCGCTCGTTGCTCGTTGCTCGTTGCTCGGCGAAAATAGTTCTGATTGTAGCCAAATCTTTTTTCCTTAGAACATCATCAATATGCTGCAGGGTGTGCTGCGCTGGGCCGTGCCCGATGTCTCTGGCCGTCTGCTGAAGCGCATTAAGCGCGAGAATTTCCTGCTGCGCGAGCACATCATTGAGTACGAGAAGCAACATGCTATGCTGCAGGCCCAGACAGCTGTGCAGAACCAGAGCCAGAGCCAGCCGAACAAGAGCCAGGAGTCGTCGGTGCTGCGCCAGCGACATGCAGGAGGAGGCGATGAGGATGCTACATCATTTGTTTGAGTGCCTGCCTGCCTGCCTGCCTGCCTGCCTCACTATACATACATATATGTATAGGTATATGTATATGTATTTGTATAAGTTCATTCCTTGATTTAACGTTTTATTCTGTTGTATATACACGGCGGACACACGTCCAGCAGTTGTTGTTGTTGTGCTTTGTATTTGTACTTAAGATGATTTTTGATAATGTTTGCGTGTGTTTTTTGCATCGAATGTGCTCAAGCGATTGCATTTTTATATAGAGTATATATACCATAACACTTGATGTGCATTATTGTTGGAATGAGATTTGTTCAGATATATATTTGTATGTAGTTAATTGATGTAACGAATCATCTTTGCTTTAGCCAGCGCCCAGCACACAGAAATTATACAGATTATACATAATAGTTAGATAGACAGAGAGAGATATATATATATATACCTAGTTATATTTGTATTTTGTAGAGGAGGGGTATGTATGGTGTATCAATGTCCAAAATGTGCATTATTCGATTATTCTGTATTGTATTATTTATTGTTTTTTTTTGTTTGGCACTGAAAAGAACGGTACTCGTAGTTATGAATGCATAGAAGGAACATGAATGAACAAAAACAAAAAAAAAAGCGAATTATACACCATAGTATATATATATATATATATATACATATATTGTACATACCATACATGTGTGCTATGTATACTAAAACACTAAGAAACAATCCAATGTACCTTAACATACATATGCTACCTACAAACAAAACGAACACAAACATATGACATATGTATCGGTCCGCTCTCCCCCCCCCCCTTCCTACCCCTCTCCCATTGTTTTATTGATTGTTGAATCCATTGCGGAATAACCTAGGTATCTTTTGTATGTACAATCTCCAAAAAGATGATGCCCCAAAATATATATATATACGAGTATAGTATAAAGTGAATTGTTGTTTTGATAAACATATTTATACATACGATTGCTACGATTGCAACGATTGCGTTTACAACATAAATTTAATAATAATACGTGTAATAATAATGTTAACAAATAACGAATACGAATACGATTACGTTAGGCAAAACAATAAAAAAAAAATACAAAATGCCCCGAATAATGAATGATTAAAACAGCAGTCAACGAATCGAAACAGAATACTAGTTTTGTTGTGTACTTAAAGGATTAGAGATTAAACTCTAGTCCAGGGGAATATAAATAGATCATAAATTTAGAGGAATTTCACAGAGTAACGGCACAGAGAATGGCATAGGATCTCTGAGAAATATGTATATATTATATGATATTTAAGCATTGATCCCTTGTAATTTATACAAAAGATTTCTATGCAACAGAAACAGTTCTTATGGGAATAGGGAAAATATGGAATAGAATTTATTTGAACTTGTTTGAGAGATGTCCACTCAAATAGTAACGGCATGGAATAGGTTCTATAATAGATGTTGGAAATTTAGTGATTTCCATTAACCAAAACAGGCAAGTTTTAGTGGGAAATTTAAAGCGTAAAAATATGTTATAACTATAATTCCTGTTTACTTATACTCTGTGACACGTGCATAGGAAAGCTTTTTGTGGTGCCATAAAAACGGCTGAGTTTCAGTCCAAAAATAGTTATATGATACGAGTATTCTCCACGTTCCAGGCCATATCCAAAGCAGACCAGACAGATAAGAATAGAGAGACAGAGAGCGAGTGAGAGGTAATTATGCGCATTTTGCGCGTAATTATGTCAAAACAGAACCGGATAGCATTATAAAACGAATCGAAAGGCGATGAAAGCAAATCAATTGGAACAGAGTGGCTTAGGTGGGAGGGACAGCATTCAATTGAAAGTGACACCCAGTGACAGCCCAGAGCCCAGAGAGGAGGCCTCAATTGAGGCGTATCCAAGTGACACACTTGCAACCCACCCACCCAGCCAGCCACCAGTGGCAAATGCAGCGAGCCATGGAAAAAAAACAAAGCAGCAGGGGAGGGGGGGCGATGCGACTAATGCAATTTGCAAAATATACGAATGTGTATCATAATGCAACTGGTGCCAGCCTGGGGGTGTGGGGGTAATTGTCTTTGGAAGGTGTCTTCCAGCGTTGGTTTGTGCAGCCGCTTGGCTTAGTCACAAATCTGTTGCGCCTGGTAACGCTTGAATGGGATTCTCTCTTTCTACTCTGCTCTGCTCTACTCTGCTCCTCCAATTGTGATCTGGTGATCGGGATTTGTGTCGGCTTTCGGAATGAGTTTGGTTGGTTGACGTTACGTTACACCAGGGGCCAGAGGGCACAGCTGAATAAGCCGCTTTGGGCAGCTAATCTCTCATTATTATTATTACTTTTTTTTCTATTTCCTATTTCCGACAGTCGAAGCATCTGAAGGAGCTGCATGGGGCAGAGCGTCAGCAATTTTTGGACTCCTTTGATCTGGTCTTTTGCGATTGTGATGGTGAGAATGGGAGTGCTGGGAGTGCTGGGAGTGCTGGGCGTGCGATGGGAACCCTTTAATTTTGCACTGATTTTGATTCGTTGCAGGCGTGGTGTGGTATCCGCTGCGCGACTTTATACCCGGCTCGGCACGGGCTCTGGCCCAACTGCAGCAGCTGGGCAAGCGGCTGACATTTGTGACCAATAACAGCATCAGTTCCCCGGCGGAGCATATCGAGAAGTTTGCCCGCCAGGGCAATTTGCATATAGAAGAGCACCAGATCGTGCATCCGGCACAGACCATCTGCGATCATCTAAAGTCCGTGCAGTTCCAGGGACTCATCTACTGCCTGGCCACGGCACCATTCAAGCAGCTGCTCCAAGCAGCTGGCTTCCACCTGGCCCAAGAGGTGAGTGTGAGTCGTTGGCTGAAGCAAAGGCAACGCCAACGCCTTGTTGATCGTTTTGTGCCTTGTGCCTTGTGCCCTTAGACCGTTCCGACTGTCATCAAGAGTCTGAGGGATCTGCATGAGGCCATTTTCGGGGGGGAGCCCGTGCAGGCCGTTGTCATCGATGTGGACTTTAACATGTCGGCGGCCAAGCTGATGCGTGCCCATGTCCAGCTGCAGAATCCGCAGTGCCTGTTCATAGCTGGTGCCTCCGATGCTCTTATACCGTTTGGCCAGGGCGAGACCATAGGTAATAGGCCCTAGGAGCGCTCCCCCATCCCTCTATCCCTTTGCTAACTCTGTTGCATCTGCAGGTCCTGGTGCCTTTATCAATGTGGTAACCGAATCGGTGGGCCGCCAGCCCCTGGTGCTGGGCAAGCCAGGCGATGCTTTGCGCCAGCTGCTGCTGCAACGGCATCCGAACATACCGCCGGCCCGTGTGCTCTTTGTGGGCGACAGCCTGGCCAGCGATATTGGCTTTGCGCGCGCCACTGGCTATCAGACGTTGCTCGTCCTCACTGGCGGCACCAAGGCCGCGGATGTGACACGCCTGCCAGCGAATCATCCACAGCGGCCGGACTTTGTGGCCGATTGTCTGGGCGATTTGTTCGATTAGCGATTGCCCCTCAGCCGCCCAATTGCAGCTAGTTAAAGTGGTCCATTAAATGGTTGGTCCCATAAATGGATGGGATACATGAAAGAGGGCGTACTACTATATTATTGTAGATATATTTTGGCTTGGATATGGGGAAAGTAAATTGTGCCCTTCCTGGGTTCCTTTGCTCCCCAGAAGCACAAACCCAATTGGCTAGAAATTGAAAACATTTAAAGGGTATCGAATAGTCGTAGCACAGCACAAGAGAGCCCCCTACCATGCCATGCCATTAGCCTTAATCGTAGTATGTTTAGTGCCAACTATATTTCAGATAACGATTAAAATATGATGTTGTGCTGATTAGCAATCAAAAATCCAACAACTGCCCATTACCCCCCGAAAAACAAAGAAAAGAGAAGAGAGAGAAGAGAGAGTGCTAAACATGCGCCTTGGGTGCCTCGCCCAGCAGCTGTGCCACATCGGCCACACTGTCCGCATAGTAGTCGGGCAGCAGATCCGGCGATGTTTCCGCCTGAAGCTGTTCCAGCGTACAGCCACCGCTGAGGACGAGCAGCGTCTGGAAGCCACACTGCCGGCCAAAGTGTATGTCCTGGGCCAGCATATCGCCCACCATGAGCACACGCTGCGGTTCGCTGATCTTCAGATGCTTGATCAGCAGTTCGCCCAGCTCGCGTCCGGGCTTGCCCAGCGTGATAGCCTGCCGGCCGCTCGCCTCGATCAGGATGGAGGCAAAGGGACCCGGTCCAATGATGTTCACACCCTTGGCCACGGGCAGCAGGCGATCGGTGGCGCCACCGATTAGCAGGCATTCGGGATGCCGCAGATACATGTGGGCGCGCAGCAGCTTTGGCGATGTCAGATTGTAGTCCACATCGATAATGACGGCGCGCACGGGCTGGCGGTCAAAGATGGTCTTGGCCAGGCTCTCGTAGCTCTCCTCAATGAACTCGTTGGGCTATCAGGGACATACATATATAGAGTATAAGGGAGATCGATTGGTAGGAGCTTTACTCACGCCATCCAGCAGCTGGTAGCCCGCCTCCCGGAGCACCGCCTTGAACGCCGCACTGGCAATGATGTAGATCAGCCCCTCGAACCGTATGTCGCGCAAATAGAGGACAATCGACTGGGCCGGATGCCACACCTGTGCGGGGGCCACCTGCAGGCCGACTTTCTCGAAACGCCTCACGCACTGATCGATGCTGCGCACACTGTTGTTGGTCACGAAGGTCAGCTCCTTGCCGGCACGCTGCAAGGCCGCATAGCCGTCCACGGCCCGCGGTACAGTGTGCTCCATGCTCCATACAACGCCATCGATGTCGCTCAGCACCCGATCAAAGGAGGCCACAAAACGGCCTCTCTGCTCCTCGCTCAGCTGCAGGATGTGCTGTGGCTTCTTGACCTGCAAATGCAAGATATACGCGTGGATATTATTTGTTTTGCTGGATTAGAACTTGCGACGGGACTGACGCTCTCCATGATGTGTGTGGTTTGCCGGCACGTTCGTTTCTGGTTCTGTCATCACGGAAATCGACACCCGAAAACGAAACCGCATGAATTAGCACCTCAAAAGCAGCGCGCCCCGCGACCGACCTATTAAAGGCAAACGCGATAAAAAAAAGTGCTGGAAAGCTTATCTATAAAATACAAAGAACGATTACTTACCCTTTGCTGGTTAACCTTATCCTGGCCCAGCAAGAATTCCAGCAGAATTTAAGTACTCTCTGCCGCGTAGGGTATGTATGACACCCAGAGAGAGATAGAGAGAGAGAGAGAGAGAGACAAAGCTTAAATCAAAACAATAGATAAGTCACCAAAACATAGACGGGCGGGAGAACGAAGAAGAAACCACTTCAAACATGGCTTATCTCTAAAGCTCTCTGTCATTGATCTGTTCGTTGGGAGCTTTCTCTCTCTCTTCCCCTCCAACGAAAACTGTAAATGTTGGGCTTCCCATGGATACAGCTCTTCCATGGAAGCGTAAACATTTGCAAATAACTTGGAATCGTATGACTATGAAGCGATACAAAATATTTATGTACATAGTGTATGAGTATTTATATGTTATTTGTGTTACATCATTTACAATCTCTCTCCGATAGCTTTTCTTCATCATGGAGGAATGAATGCTTCTCCTTCTATGGGAGTTGTGTGTTCGCTGTTCCTTTGAGATTCATACTCATTTTCTATGCATATTTATCGTCTGTTTGGGCCTCCTATAACGTTCATTGTTGCAAATAAGCAAACATTTGAGATGGGATTGCCAATAAATAGCAATATATATAATTGTTGTATTATTAGAACCGTTATAAAAACATTTAAAGAAAGTATATTCTGGTATTCTGGTTTCTTTTCTGCCTGCGGCCATATATCGGTATTTTCGGTATTTTGGTATTCTGCCCAGGCAGAAGGACGCGCTAGTGCATTTCTGTAAACGCGCATCGTAAAATCCGAGTTTCCATTGTTTTTTGGCTGATTTCAGAGTGTTTGCAAGAGCGTAGATTCTGCTTTAACGATGCAACAAGTAAACGAAATATAGCCAATGCACGGATCAATGCCTGCAGCAGAGTGAAACAGCTGCGGGCCGGGTTCAATCGGCTCAGCTCAAACAGGAGAGGAGACTGGGAGTGCCTCAAGGGTCTGACATCCTCCCACTAATCAATCAATAAAATGGGGGCCGAGCACTCCCAGCAGCGGGCCGAGGCCGATGGCCACGAGATCTTCGAGGGCAGACATATGCCCGGTGGCGCTGGCCTGCCCGATGGCAGCTCGATGGCCCTGGCTGCCGCAGCCGGAACGGCGGCTGCCAACAAACGGCGCGGTGCTGGCCTCAACAGACAACAGACGGTGCCGGGCACTGGACCCGCCAGCATTGTGATAGCCAGCAAGCAGATTATAGCGGATGCCTCATCGCCGGCCAGCTCGGAGCTGAGTCGGCCGCCATCGCCGCCGCTGAGCGTGTGCTCCGACTTGCCATATGTCTCCTACACGGATCGCCCCATCGGGGACTCGCCCAAGATCCGCTCCAAGCCGGCCCACCTGCTGCAGCAGAGCAGCGCGAGTCGGGCGGCCAACAGGAAATCGCATCCGGGCGGCTTCACCACCACCACCAAGCCGAAGCGGCCCCAGTCGACGGTGTCCAGCCACAGCATTGTGATTGTGAAGCCCGGTGCAAGGGACACGAACGATGATATCGATCCGGATCTGGCCCGGCTGCGCAGTATTCCACAATTCCTGCCCGTTCTGCGGGAGTCCATCAGCTCGGCCACATACACGCGCGATGCTGAGATCCTGGAGCGTCTGCACTCGCAGCATCTGATCAACATTTGCACGCGCATGCAGACGCATCTGAATCTGTGCGCCTGCTACGTGTCCAGCGAGCAGAATCATCTGGTGGAGCGCACAAAGGTAGTCAGCAACTCCATCACGACGCTCTTTGCCAGCTTCGTGGACATGCAGAAGACGTATGCCTCGTATGCCGAACAGTTTGCCAAAATCCGAAGCGTCTCCCATCAGTTGAGTCGCTGCAATTCGTTGCTGCACGAGAATATTGCCAGTCTGGAGGCCATTAACAATTTTCTGGACGATGAGGACCGCCTGGAGCCGTTCGTCTGGCGCACCGATGACAACAAGCTGCGCGGCGAGGCAGAGGGGGCCACCGGTGGCAACAGCAGTCGTTTGTGGCGGCTGTAGGAGGGGTCGTCACCTGTGGAGCCTCTGCAGGACCAAACCGCCCCCCCCCCGCCCCAAAGATTTTCTTAGTACGTAATTTGCGTGTATTTACTGTGTATATTAATCGTTAACTAATGCCACACTTAATCGTGATTTTAAATTAGTAAATGCAAATCAAAATGATTTATCCCAAAAGTGAAATGTTCTCCTTTCCCCCCCCCCCTTGCACACACCTTCGAAATTTATTTATAAATCTAGGTCATCATTCAGGCTCTCTCTCGCGTTTCAGCCCGCTGCTCAGGTGTGTGTCGCTGGAAAGTGGAACACATGGCAAAGGCTATAGCCTGATTCCAGTTTCCTTCTCTCAATTATCACCTACGTCATTTGCTGTTGCAGGCCAGGCAAGGATCTATAAATATCTGGACAAGTGTCTATGCTCAAATGCAGTGGCAATGGGGCACAACGCAAGGTCTAAGTGTCTTAAAATTATTCATTTAAAATAAAACCAATGCCCAAAAGTAAATAATGAGCACTGGGGCTCCTTAAGACTTTAAATGGGAGCAATGAAAACTTATTTAAAAAACTTCTTTCCCATAAATTTAATATATATTTTGTACCCAAACACAAAACCTTTTTTCCATGCTTCATCTTCATTTGGCACCAAAGAATCCTACGAAAGATATAGTCCAAAAGTTCTTGTGGGCATATGGGAAACCTTCTAAGGATTATTTCCCTATTAAACAATCTCTCTGAATATTATTAAATATTACGCAACAAATAACACAAAATTGTTGGCCGCTTTTCAAGACGTTCTTTTAATAATCATTTTTTTTCACAATCAAAATTCCATACAACATTTACAAACAAATTACAGCCAATATATGTACGGTACACCCATACATATATGCGCATACACATATACACATATAAATATACATATAGTATTTCTAGTCTTAGGATAGATAGTTTCTAGCTCGATGCACATATCGAATATACATTAGATATAGGGATGCAATATTGGACATTGGGGTGATGGGTAAACTTTTCTGTTTTTGCTATTTGTTTTATCATTTTGGTAAACGCTACGAAGAGCAACAGCTTATAAACTATTCGTAATATACACAGACACATATAATAATATAATATATTGTATATATATATATATATATTGTATAACTTTTTGCTAAATATTTGTTGTATAGGGAGGGGAGAAGGATGTGCCCCATTTGGGTGATTATAACTTTGTTTTTACTTACTTTAAAGTCCAGAGATGTGATGTGATGATGAATGAATTGGCTTTGTGTGGTGGTGCGTGCATATATAGATAGATAGATAGATCAGCCCCTTCTCACTGGCCCCTCTCAGTGTCACCATATCGCACGTATACGTCTCTGCCTCATCGTCCGCATTGACTTGTAGAGGGCCCAGCAGCTGAGCAACAGGTTGGCCAGCGAGAATAAAGGTATAAAGCGGCTGCGTCCTAGAATGGTGAAAATGGAGGGTTCGGCTAACTGTTAGCAGCAGGTCTCATAGTTGCTCCAATAGACTAGGAGCATTAGCAGGAGGTTCACAAAACTTATATTCTAGAAGAGCTTCTGCATGTGTATTCGGTCCTGAACATTGCGTGCCTGCTGCTGCTCCTCAATCGATTTCAGCTCCTTGGCCACCGTCGACTTGAGGCTGCTATCCAGTGCCAATGCATCAATGAAATCGCGACGTGCCTGCATCGGATTCCAGGCGCCAGCATGGGCCTTGGCCCGCCTGAACAGTGCCTTTACATTGCGTGGATCCAGATTCAGCACCTCATTGCAGTGCTCGATGACGGCATAAAAGTCACCGGCAATCAGACGACACTGGGCATAGTTCAGCAGCAATGGTGTCTTGATCGCAGCCAGTTCCATCCATTCACCATCGTGTGGCTTCTCCTTGAGCATGAGCTGCTCAACAATGCCCACGGCCTCGCGATAGCAGGTCTCTGCATCCGTATACCGATTCGATTTGTAGAAGCCATTGCCCCGCTCCCTCAGCGTGTTGGTGGCCAGCATTTTCTCGTCATCGGACATTTGCCAGCGCTCCTTTTCGTACTGCTCGGGCAGCTCAATCGAGGTCAGCTCTATGATGAATTCCAGGTCCACAGGATGCTGCAACAGGGCATCCAAATCGGGATAGCCAATGCCCTCGTTTTGTAGTGTCATTCCACAGCAGCGACGTCGTTCCTCGGGCTTCTTTCCAATGTCCCTCAATGTCTTTGATATGAAAGGATACTGGGGACATAGCTGCCCGGGCGGAAATGTTGGAAATTGGGTCAGTGAGATCGCATTACAGACCCCTACCTATTCTCCCTCTCTCTCTCCTCCTCCGTATCATACTCTGCGGTGCATACATACCGATTTGTGTACCGTGAATTTGGCCACCTCGTTGAGGGACATCTGCTGCACAATCACTTCCCAGACCTCCAGCTTGAATTTCTTGCCCAGGACCAGCTCCATTGGTTTACCCATCTTCCTGCTGTCATCCACGATGCGTGCATCATGGGCTGTCCGCGTCTGGAAGTGGAATTTCACCTGTCAACAGGAGCAAAAAGGAGAGGGTAGAGAGGGTTAGGTGGTGCATGAACTTTCCAGGACCTTGGCCTAATTTCCCTTGTTACTATGCGGGGGTGGCAGCAGCAGCAGCAACAGCTGCACCTGCACCTGCTGCAGTTTCAATTTTGTTGTTTGTTTTCTTGCTTCTTGTATTTAATTCGTACCCGTGTGCCTGGCGTAAGCTCAATATAAGCGTTTCCCGGATTGATAATTTCCTTGCGGATGGGCTTGTTCTCGACATTCTTCTTCTGCTCCATGGCGATGTGGTTAACCGTGAATGTGGTTTCTGATTAAGTAGTACAAGTGTCCGCACTCCGCGCTGCTCTTTGTTTTCACTGAGTGGGGGTCCCGTCCGCTCCGTAAACAACGTCTTATTAGAGGTGTCAAACCATCGATGGCACTATCGATAGCCTCTACTATCGACGGTTTTGCGACTATCATGATAGTATCGAGCTACAGTCGTTGCGTTTTGATATGTTTGGATTGGCTGCTATAAAATACGAGGACACATTTGTAAACAAATCGACAGGTGGCATCTAATTTTTACAATGGACAAGTTCCTAAAAGGTTTCAATGGTTTTTTAATAATTATTTGAGCCCGATACTATCACGATAGTATCGATTGTTTTTTCAAAACATTCGACGTTGATATTCCTCGATTTTGATATTCCGTTTAATATTACTAGCTAGCTGAAACTCTCAGCCCCAAACAAATAATTTTATCCAATTCATCAATACATTTTGTACAAGATTGGCTAGTTTGCAGACCTTCTTTTTATTGGATTGTTTACATAATAAGGTTCAAACAAAAACGGCCCATGCATAAAACGCAAGTGTGTGACGTCATTGTTGCTGTTCAGCCTCTAATTAATGTTAAATTTTTTGTTCCAAGCTGCTTTGTGGATTACCTCTTGTTGCTCGTTTGTTGTTGTTCATTTCCACATGCTGATGAAATATTTCCCATACAAATCAAATGTATGTAACGGGATCGTGTACCCGAGACGATAGTCGGACAGGTGGTATGGTCAGGCGCGATACATCGATATGCTGCGGCACTTGTGGCCGCACTCTAGGCCCATCACTACACTCCCAGGTTTGTTTGAAAGTATGTTATAAAAAATGAAATTGTAAATACCCTGTAAATTTTGTAATTTAGCCCCAGCCAGGAAATAAAACACATTGCTTTATAGAATACTATATCATATGTATTGTATATGTAATTTGTATGCAGGTATCAATCACTGTTATTTTTAAAGGTAATTGCATTGTTACCCATTTGAATGAAACACACCGATTTTTTGAATACTCTTCATATAATTGTAATGCAGGTATCAATAAATGTATTTATGTATGTAACATTCAGTGGCGTAGGCAGAAAATGAATGGAATAGATACATACATATACATATACATATAAGAAACAGATACTAGAATATGTTATTTCTAAAATTCAATCTTTCGATAAAGGAAATTCGTATATAGTCGCTACCAGTCCGCTTCCTGCATACGCCACAAATAACATTATTTTGTACAATTATTATTTGTAAGTATTACTGGTTGTTTGTCTTCTCTTTTTGTATCCTTATGCTGAATGTTTAGCTAATACACACTAAAAACATTGTAACTGATTTCGTTTTGTTTTGTTTTGTTTGTTTTGACTAGCGTTTTAGTTATTTTGCTTATTGTAAACAGCATAAAATGTAACCATCTTATATTTTCGTATGCCTCTAAATAAACACAAAAATTATTGCACATTTTTTACTTTTTTTTGTTAGGATTAGAACATAGTTTGTGTGTCCGTGTGAGTGTGTATACTATGCGTGTAAAAGGTTCCTGAATGGGTCGGTTGGGGTTCCTCCCCACTAGTATATTTGGTTTTTCGAATTGATGATATGTACTACTTTTTGACTAATTGTTTTTTTCTTGTTTTTCGTTTCTTTTCAGGTCGATGCCCACCAAAATACTCATAGAGTAAAAATTTTGCCATAATTTAATATGTGTTTGTGTATGCGTGTTTGTGTGTATGATTTAGTAAGGGTATCTCGCTGTCGGCGAGACTCACTAACATTTCGTTTTTAGAACAACAAAGCACCTACCACATTAAGAGCTTGATGATGTTGTTTCTGCTGTTGTTGTTGTTGTTGTTGGTGTGTGTGATGCATGCTTGTTGTTGTTGTTGTAGTTGTTGGCGATTTAAGTTCTTCCACTATTATAGCACCGTGCTCGTCCACCGTATGATTTAATAGTAAATTCTCAACCTGCTCATCGGATAGTAACTCTTTAGGCTCTGACGATCTGTAAAGTTAGGGTATTAAGTTGGTCATTGCTGTGCACGGCAAAAGATTTCGAGTAAAACAAATACACAACAACCAAGGAAGAATAGAGTCTGAGGCGAGAGAGAGCGAGAACGATAGAGTGTAGTGTGGTGGATAGCAAACGGTTCTTTTTTTTTACTGTAGCATAAGAAGTGGGGTAGCGCAATGTGGGTGAGAGAGCGATATTCAATTATAGATGTAGAGCGAGTGGAGCAGGATTAGAGACAGATAGATAGAGAGACAGAGAGATATAGTGTAGGTCCAAGCTTAAGCACTTCCTAAACGAGCAAAAGTCAAGCAATTGCTGCTGTTGTCCTGCTCGTTTAGGGAGTACCTTCAAAGAGCAGGCAAAGTGGTTACAGCGATTACATTTACAGCAAACAAACTTAGAATCAAGACAATGAGAGAGAGAGCGAGAGAGAGAGCTTTTGCCAAGTACTGCCTTAACGGGAAATGCCGAGCGCGCTGCTCTCCTGCTTGCCTCGTTTAGCCAGTACTTACAAAACGTTCAGTTGATGTCGGTGAGCGGGGAAACTGAAAATGTAACGGGGCAAAAACACAACACATACAAATAATTTTTCTCTCTTTTACGTTTTTGAGCAGTACATACAGAACATTATTACTTTTGCTTTGCTGTTGTTGCTGCTGTTGCAATTGTTGTTGGGAGGACTTTTTTTATATATTTATTTTTCTAAGCGTGTGTGCGTTCGTGCTGTTGTTGTAGTTGTACTTTATTGTTGGTAGTTGCGGTTAATTTTGTTCTTGGGGAGAATGTGTTTTTTTTTTACTTATTTTTTGTTAAAATGTAGCAAAAAGCAGAGAGCGTGAGAGAGAGAGAGAGAGATCAAATCAAAGCAGCCAATTTGTCGATTCATTATTAATTAATTTTGTTGTTGCTAATTGCTGTACTTTTTTGTTGTTGGTTGGTTGTTGTTACTGTTGTTTTTTTTTACTGTTTTTTTTTTTTCGGTGGATAAGATGGGTGCATAAAAATCATCGATGGATTATTTCATGGATCATCGATGGATCGTATTTCGGATTTTTTTTTTTCTGATTATTTGAGATTATAATTTCAAATGAGCTTCGTCAGGCGGCTCTGCAGCGAGTTTAGCAGGCCGCGTCCGCCACTGGCACTCCCACTGCCGCTCGCACTGCCACTGCCGCCCGACGTCCCTCCACCATCTACTGACCTGCTAAAGAGGAAAAAGTCACCAGGTCCGCCGCCGCCGCCGCCACCTCCACTGGTGCTGCCTCCTCCCGCACTGCCCGTGGATGACATTCCCGTCGTCGTCGTTGTGCCCAGTAGCGCCTCCGCTTCGGCTCCGCCGGCTTCGCTGGCGGCCATCTCCGATTCGCTGTTGCGCCTCTCCAGGCTGCGGCCCACCTTCTGAAAACCGTAGCTAAACACATCCTTCACCTTGTCCCCCGCATCGATCAACAGATCCAGGCTTTGCCTCCGGCCGTTGCTCTTGAAGCTGTTCGAGCGCGACAGCCACTGGCTGAGGCTCTGCTTGCGGCTCATCTGCTGGCCGCCGCCGCTGGCGGAGTGGCTGCTGTCGTCCTGGAATATCGTCGTGCAGGTCACCTTTCGCCTGGGCTCGTCTGAGGACGAACCCGAGTGCTGTGACAGGACATCCGGATCGAAGCCGCCGCCGCCACGGCCCAGGCCGTATCCCAGGCCGCCGCCGCCTCCTCCACCGCCACAGCCACCGGCACCCTCGAGGCCGTGCTGATCCAGCAGCGATTGATTCGAGTAGCTGGAACTGGTGCTGTCCGAGTGGGACAACCGGATCTCCGTCCACTGCTCAATGTCGTTGTCGCCCGGTGCTCCCGAGACCGATGCTGAGGCCGATGCCGAGGCCGAGCCACCCAGCGAGCCACTGCCGCACTCCGAGCGCTGCTTCACCTCGTAGGGGGCATGGAGTCCCTGGGCCTGCACCGAGAACAGATTGGTGTCGCCATCCGTGGCGCTGGTGCTGGCCGATTTGTGCATGCCGCCCGCCAGCTTCTGGGGGAACGTTAGCACAGCCTCAAAGTCTGTCAGCAGATGGGGACAGTCGTGCGGATCGCTTAAACACTGACGCGGCGGACTGCCCGCACTGCCCAGACGATCGGGCATACGCAGATAGTCCTCCTCCTCCTCCTCCTCCAGATCCACCTCCGCATCATTGTCATCATTGTCCCTGTCTCTGTCCCTGCCTCTGGCATTCTGCATTCCACCGCCAGACAGGGCATCCACTGTGTCCACCTGCCGTAGCATGGCCTCGTAGTTGAGGAGATTATTGCGCTGCTGTCGTTGTCGGTGGATGTCCTCGGAGATCTGTTCTAGATTCTTCAGGGCCTCGTTGTAGGTGAGCTTGGCGGCGCTGACCTTTGCCTCCAGCTCGTTGACCCGCAGCTTTTGGGCCTTCAGCAGTCCGTTGTAGTTTGCACGCGTCTCGTAGTAGGGCCTGCGGGATGCGGGAGGAACAAGAACGAGTTGCGTTTGGGGAGGGGGCATGCCCCGCATTAGTGCTTGTGGGCGGGTGAGGCATACTCACGAACACAAGGTACAGTGCAGGGCGTGCATAATGCTAAAGTATCTCAACAAAAGTAAATTGCGCTTGAGCTGCAATCTAAAAGGAAAACGGAAAAACGTATAGGAAAAGCATAGGAGAAATCCAATAAACAAAGAGAGAAAGAAAGAAAGAAAAAGAAACGAAAAGAAAAAGAGCAAGAAAACATAAGGATAAAACCAAATGGAAAACCAAGAAAAACCATTAAGAATAACCCTTAATATATTATTAATCGATAATTATCGATTAGTTTCGATAGCTTTATAGATCACTTTCCATAGCAATTACACATATTCCCATGTATTTGTCGTTGAATGGCTCTATAATCATTTAAAACAAACCACTGATCTTAATCGATAATTATCGATCACTAGCAACAATACCCAAGAGACCTATAGATCACTCATCACACAAAATACACTTCTATTTCCATGTATTAATTTTTATATGGCTCTATAATCTTTGGAAACATAGCACAAACTAGGAAAACCCATCTAAGCGATAATTATCGATGACTCAATAAGTAATAATAATAAGAAGTAAAATAAATATTATAAAATTAAAAAACTTAAGCTTTCCCCATAAATTATATAGATTATAGTTTAAGAATCATAAAAACCAAAAAATAAAGCTTCGAAAATTCGCATACTACTATCCCGTATATTCCTATGTATATGTATATCCTGCACCATTTATAAAGCCAGAATTGTACCTGGATGCACGTAGCGCCTGCTTGAGTTGTCCCTGCAGCTTGTTCACACGATTGTTGGCCACCTCCAGCTTCAGCTGGCACATCTTCAGGGCATTGCGTGTGTCGGTGACCTCCAGCTGGGATTGATTCACTTTGCTTGCCGCATGGCTGAGCATCTCCTGGCAGGCCGTATCCAGGGTGGACTTCTCGCCGAGTCCCTGCTCGGCCAAGTATACCATCTCCTTGGCGGCGGCATGAATGGACTTGGCCTTCTCGTGATTGGCCGCCGACTGTTGCGTCTCCTTGGCCAGCTGTGCGGCATAGATGCGCGACTCGTAGTACGGTTTGGCGGCATCGATGGAGTTTCCCAGCTTGTGGGCGGCCGCCTTGATGCGCACCACACTCTCCGCCAGCAGACGCTTGAACTCGCACTTGGACTCCTATTGAGCGATGGACATCACAAAAAGGGGAGTGAATGGGTGAAAAAAATCAATATGCCAAACAAACAACAAAACCACTCACATCGAGTTCCACTTCGAATCGATTGATGTTGTCCGTTGCAGAATTCAGTTTCTCCAGCTCAATCTGTGGAGAAGGGGGGGGTGTAGGGTTGTGTCAATAACGGAACTCCTGCAACAGTGCCTCCCAACCCACCCACATACCTGGACACGCGGATCGACGGGCGTATTGCTTTCTGTTGACATTGCACTGGCTGTGAGTTTTTCTGCCTTTGCGATTTTCACGCTGCTTTTCCAGAACGTTTTCACTTTTGGCAGCTCTCTCTCTCTCTCTCTCTCTATCACTCTATCACTCTATCTTACACTCTGTCACTGGCAGCGCTGTGGCATGACGGAGCGGAGCGGAGCGGAGGCAGTGCAGCGGTTGGGTGCAGCTGCTGTTTCCACTTAAGTTGTGTGTTTAATTGATGCCGTAAATTCGTTTCATTTCCACATCAAACCAAAAAACAATCAAAAATTAAGAGCAAATATTACAGAGAGCTTTTTGCAATAACAAATGCGTACACATAACGATGACAACACGAGGGGAGGGAAAACAGCCAAGACAGCTGGCCCACGCAAATCAAGGTCTTTTAATGTGGGGTGTGGCTACAGTTCGCTCTCACCCATATTCGAGTGACAAAAAGTCACAATCTGTGTATCTCTGTTCGTGTGGAGAGCAAGATGGCACTTAAAAACTGAAATTTATACCATTTATTTGCCTTGGTTTTATGGAATCTGCCTGCGAGTAGTCACTGTCGTTGAGCCAACACCTAATATTCATACAACTTGCACACAACCACCACCTGAAAGCCTGAGCAGTGTTGCACAACAACAGCGGTGGGAAAAAAACAGCAAGTATTTAATTGCGAAAGAAAGAAAAACATATCTTACACTATAGCGCAAAACCAGTTTTACTTGGGAGTGGAAAATCTGGCGATCCTATCAAGAAATCTTTTTTCTATACACATATTTTCCCTTGGAAAACGCCTGTTTATCAGACCAGCAAAAAAGCTTTCTGTTTGAAAATGCCGCACTTTTGTCTCTCACACAAGTGTTGCAAAAAGAACAAAACATCTGCAGCTCAATTTCGCATTCGGGAAACTATCGATAGCTAATATTCAAAATATATCCTAGCCAAACGACATTTCATTCTCCAATTGGATTTAAACAATCCAATAAATGGGAGAGTCCCATTAGAATAAGCTAGATTGTAGTTGATTCTTCTATGTATACGAAATAATTATATGGTCAGTGCTGAGAGTCTTAGCTGGCTAGAAATATGAAACCGAATTTCCAAGTCGAGCAATATGGTTTCCGATCATGGACAGAGACCGACTAACCCATTGTCGACCAGCACGAATAGTATGAAACTTGAAACATATTTTACGCATTTCATGTGAAGGATATTGTGATAATATTTTATTACAAGTGAAGAGGAAGGATGTATCTACAAGAAGAATATACAAACAGCATTATTTTGCGCGGCTTAATTTAAGTTGTTTCACTGTTTAAATAGCAGGAAGGGGTTAAGTGGGCTAAGTCCTTTTCTTCGTCGGTATATTTCCGGTATATTTTGAAAATGATAAGGTATATTTTGGTTTATTCCTGAGGGTCAGACGGTTTATTTTATCGGTAACTCCGCGGTCACACCATACGTTTTTTTTGTTATTGTTTTTCGTTGCGCGCGGACGTAGAGCTGTCAAACGATTGATAGTTGAGCCATCGATAGCTTTGAATGTTTTGAAAAAAACAATCGATACTATCATGATAGTATGGGCTAAAAAAATTATTAATTATTAATTTTTTTTTTGTTATTTACTGGTTACTGGTTCTCGGTTTCTGAGGTTTCTGAGGTCACTCGAAAAAACAAATCAAGTGAAATATTTATTTTTCCAAATATTAAGACACATTTCAAATTGACCGCCAAACTCAATTTAGCGCACCAAAAATACTGACATTTTTCGCTCTCAATTCGTGGAGAGTTTGCAAAATTTGCTCTCAATTCGTGGAGAGTGCTCTCTTTTCAGTGGAGAATAGAGTGTTTTTGTGGAAACTTTCCCCTCATTTTCGTGCAGCATGTTGCTGAAATTTTCCCATACAATCTGTATCTTACGGGAACGCGTATGGAATAAAGATTCATTGTTGCGGGAAAAATTGCAGCAACATGGGGAAATGAATTAGCAGCATTGCTGTGCAACTTTGGCACGGAATGAGCAACAATCTGCATACCTTGGGAAAATGGATATTATGGACTTGAGGTATTGTTTGTAATTTCAGGCTCCAATTAATGCAGAAACTACTCAGTCTCTGTTTTCAAGATATTAACGAAATTTGGCAGCTCACGGGTTCCAATAATAGGTATCAGAACCGGGATAAATGTATTTATAAAACACAAAACATATACATTAAGAGGTAAAAAACATGTCAATCTAGGATAAAATCATAAATAATGTTTCACTGGAGCTTGGAACAAAACTTTTCACACCCATTGAAAGAAATAAGGTATACAAAAGTACATACGCATAGAAGATACTTGGTTGACCAGCAACACTGACGTAACATTTAGTCAACATTTAAGTTTTATGCTTTGGCCGGTTTCGTTTGAACCTTAATATGTAAACAATCCAATGAAAAAGAGTTCTAAAAACTAACCAATCCTGAAGGAAATTTATGCATCTATCGGATAAAATTATTTGTTTACGGCTGAGAGGGCCAACTATCTAGTAATATTAAACTGAATATCAAAATTGACGAATTTCATATCACAAAATATCACGGGATGGCAGCCCGCAGCAACTACGAATTGCACGAGTCTGGCAGCGCCACAAAACGACGACAAATTCGTTTTATGCTGTTTTTGTTTGAACCTTAATATGTAAATAATCCAATAAAAAGGACTTCTGAAAACTTGCCAATCTCTTAAAAAATGTATGTATATATCGGATAAAATTATTTGTTTGGGGCTGAGAGTTCCAGCTAGCTAGTAATGTAAAACGGAATATCAAAATCGAGGAATATCAACGTTGAATGTTTTGAAAAAAAAATCGATACTATCGTGATAGCTCTAATAATTATTAAAAAACCATTGAAACCTTTTAGGAACTTGTCCATTGTAAAAATTAGATGCCACCTGTCGATTTGTTTACAAATGTGTCCTCGTATTTTATAGCAGCCAATCCAAACATATCAAAAGCGCAACGACTGTAGCTCGATAATATCATGATAGTCGCAAAACCGTCGATAGTAGAGACTAGCAGTAAAATATCGATACTATCGATAGTGCCCTCGATGGTTTGACACCTCTACGTTTTTTTTTGTTATTGTTGTTGCGCGCGGACGTGTTCGGTCGTGCCCCCAAAATCGTGGTCGCCTAATCAGACGGACGCAAATGCGTTAAGAACCAACAAATCTCTCGAATATAGCTGAACGCACCAAGAGTGGTTAAAAGCAAAGCCCCTTTGGTTGTTATTGAAAATATATTCGTCAGCACGCGACTAACTCGAAACTCACGACTCTTGTATATTTTTTTTTTTTTTGGTGTTTTCCCCCCTTGCAATTGCTAAGAAAAGTGTGTGTGGAAACGGTTTTTTTTTTGATTGTTTTTCTTAAAGACAAAACAAAAATTGCGCGCGCGCCTTTGAGGAAGGGAAATAGAAAACAACAGAAGCAGCAGCTCTAAGGAAAAAGTAATTAAACCCCAAAAAAAAGCCATTCAAAAAAGGTTGGGGCATGAAAATGCAGTCCGATAGGAAAATGTTGGCTGCGGCTTTTATCTGCTGCTTGCTGCTGGACGCATTGTCTTTGGATTGTCTGCGTCTTAACTCGTTTTTTGCTTTTGGCTTTTGGTTTTTTTTTTTGTTGTTTTGTCGTTTTTGGTTCTTCTTGTTCTCTCCGTCTCTGTCCTTCTTGTGTGTGCCGCATGTCGTCTGCGTTGTGTGGCTTGCCTGTGTGTCTGTGTTTGTGTGTGTTTGTTGTCTATGGGATGCGCTTAGACGTTGCGTTGGCTCTTGCCACACGCCTTTTTTTTTTGGGCTTACATCAGCAGAAGCAGGAAGGGAGGGAGAAGAAGCAGAAACACCAAAAGGAGGAAGCGAGGCAGACGAAGAAGAAGAAGGTGAAGGAAGAGACAGAAACAGCAGGAGCAGGAAGAGGGGGGAGAAGAAGAAGCAGCAGCAGCAGGATGAGAAGAAGAAGAAGCAGAATAGAAGAAAGAGACACAGTAGAAACCACCAAAAGCATTAGAAAATCACACACACAAACACACCAAGCCAAAACGGGAATTAAAAGCGAAAACAAAAACAGAAGCCGCAAAAAACAGCGACAAAAACAACACACAAAAAATCAATAACGGTTTTGGCAGGGCCAGGGAAGGCAGAAGCCAGCAGCTGAGTGGCAACACCGTTATGCTTCCGCTTCCTCGCATTCTCTCTCTCTTTCTCTATCTTTCCCTCTCACTCTCTTCCTTTTACCAAAAAATGTCAACCGGCAGCCTTTTTGTGGCCCGGCCCAAAGGGTTAGATAACCAAACTTGAGGGAAATGCTAAGAAAATCCAAAGAAAAGCCTGCATCTACCGCCCCTGCATTCCAGTTTTATCTTTTGCTCATCTCTTTTGCTTTCTTTTTTGCTCTTCCCCCTCTGCCAGGCGCTCCTGCAGCAGCAGCATCAGCAGGAAACTGCCAAAAGGAAGGAACCACACACACAAAAAAGGAAAAGGAAATTCCCGAAACGCCGAAACTTTCATTGCAGCATTTTCTATAGCACATTTGTTGCTCTTTTTTGTTGCTGTTGTTGTTGCACGGGTAAGTTTTTCCATTTCCATTTCATGAGTGGAATATTTTCACCCACAGCTTCCACTGCATTGGGTGGGGTGAAGCATCCATGCATTTGTAATTCTTGCAACATTCCAAAGGGGATGGGGGGCAGGACGCCACACAGCTTTTAAACAGATGACACAAAAGATGGGAGACAAATTTATTAGTTGGCATTTTTTTGATGTAGGAAATCGTAGGGAACACTTTGGAATATTAAGGAAATATTAAGGGGAAATAATACCGATATCTAGGGGTATTTGAGCTCCATCAAAATGCAGATGAAATCTATTACAATTCCTTATTTATTTTATATTCTAATAGAAAAACGGTGCGAGATTTAACAAAAATATTTAGTATTGAAATTATACCAAAACCTGTTTTAAAAAAACTATTTAAAGATGAACAAAAAATACGTATTGAAATATAAATAATTTTTAACAAAAACTATTAAAAAATAATCGAAATAAATGGGAATTTGTGTTCAAATCTTTGGTTTTAGTTAAAGTTTTGTTTCTATTTAATGCGCAAATCTTTGGAATTAAAAAAATTAATAATAGTAAGGTGTTTTCCTGCCACAAGAACCCAACGAAACCTGTTACAATCCCATGGGAAAGAGTTTTTGTTTCTTTTTTGTGAAGAAATTCTCAAAGAAATAATTTTTCTTGCTGTTGGAATCCTGCTCAAAATTGTAGCCACTCCGAAATGCCTGCTGTATGCCGCCGCCCCTTCTTCTGTGTCTGTCTGACTGCATGTGGCCGCCCTCCCTCCTCCTCCTCTCATTCTCTGCGCCCCAGGGGCCGCTCTCTACCTCTCCCTGTCCTTGGCGGCCGCTTGGGAAGCTTTTTGTCGTCTCGACTTCGATTCGAATTGAATCGAACATTATGCGGGCCCTTTGTGTTTTCTGGTTTTGTTTTTTTTTTTTTTGCAATTACTAGAATATTTTTTGAAAGGGGGGCGACAGTCGGTTTGTCTGTGCCGCAGGTTCTCTTGTTGTGGTGCCTCTTACTCTCTGTCTGACAGTTGCCACTGAATTGTGTCACACATTTTGGTGTACGAAAATATTGGGGATCGGGGTTCACATTGCAGAAATGCTTTAAATACGATGAAGGAAACACCATGGACTTAAAGAGCACACAGTTGCCTTTCGCTTAGGGGAACTTTCTTGAACATCGCATCATTGCAGGAGAGAGTGACAGGAGGATTCACCTTCTGTGGATCTCACTTATTCTCATTGGAATATCTTCTCTATCATGGAATCCATGGATCCAACGGATACCTCTACAGATGGATACGCATCCCCCCCAAAAGATACAAATAGTATCTTGTATCTTGTGGTTGGGGCATTGGCCTTCTGCCTGCTCTTTGGCCTTCTTTTTCACACACGAAACAATGTGCTAGCCTCCCCTCCTACTGCTGCACTGCTGCTGCCTATTGCCTCTTGTTTTCTGTGGCATGTGGCAGTGGCATTTGCCTCTTCTCGGTTGCATTTCTCTATGTTTCTCTCGTGTGCTTCCATGGTTTTATGGCTATTATTATTATTGCTGTTGTTGTTGTTGTGGGGGCTCTTAAGTGCATAAATATTTCATTTATTCCATTTTATTGTTTACACCAAAAAGGTCGCCCCCGAGAGCGTTTTCACTCTTGCCGAGTTTAAGGATATTCATAGGGGCCATCACGTGACGTGAGTGGCACACATAGCGAGTGTAGAACATGTAACGAGTGGGGTACAAAGGTAAATGTCAAATGAATGGTATGAAGCCTTGAGAGGTGCTAAATAACGAGAGGAGAGCAAGAAGTGGCATGTAACGAATGTGGTACATGTACGAGCTGGGCATGTAACGAGTGTTTAGAGTTTAGAGTTTGTACGCACTCGTTGGGGGTACAAATAGCGAGTAGCGAGTATCGAGTACACAGAATTGGTACGTAATGAGAGGAGAAAAAGTGGCAAGTAGCGAGTCCCATGTGAAAAGTAACGAGTGTGATTTTTGCACATTTTTTTGTGACATGACATAGAAAGATATCTATAAAAAAAAAAATAAACAAAATATGATTTTTGCTCTCGCTCTTTGAGCAGAGAGGGAGCACAACGCAGCATTGTGTTAATTTGCGATGTGCGTGCAACATGAGGAGCAAAGACAGCAGCAGCAGAAGAGGCAGTGGCGGAGGCAACAGCAGACGAGGAGGTGGCAGTGAAGAAGGAGCAGCACATGAGCGAACATAATGGAAATTGTGTGGTTCACAGTTCATTGAACTTTCATTAGAATGCACTTTGCCACCTCCTCCTCCTCCTCCTCCTCCCATATGCAGTTGAAACGCAATGATGCAACGCGATGATGCTGCGATGATGATGAAGATGCAGCAGATGATACGAATGGATGGATGAATGGATGGATGGGCTGCTCTTGGGTTCAGAGACGACACTCTAGAGCGTGTCAACAGCGGCACCACCGCAAACAGCAGCAGAGGGGCAAGCATCAGCAGAGGCATGCCACCGCCCCCAGGCACAATGTCTCGCTTTGTGACAGAAAGGGTGGTGGTGGTGGTCACTACGACAGCGCTGCAAATCGTGGAATGTTGTTGCCTGTTACAATAATGTTTTAGGAATTATATGGCACAAGGTATTTTGGATAGGAAAACTACAGCTAAATTTAAGCGAAAAACTATCTGGAAAAGCGTACCTAAACTTCGGGTAAAAATATATGGAAAACTGTCTTCAAACTTAAAGGAAATCTTGGTAAAAAAAACTATGCTGACAAGTGAAAACCCTTGAGCGTGGTAAACCCTGTGTTAAAAGTCCCCGAAAATTGCATTGGAAATAATACCAGTTTGAGTTAATTCCTTAATAGGAACTATTTTCCATGGCACTTATTATTGCTACAATTTTGGAAAATATAAAAACAAGCGAGATTACCCCCTTAAATATAAAATTCTTTATTTTCTTTGTGGGGGGGAAATTCAAGGGAAATTTGTATCCGTTTAAGCGATTTTTTGTAGGTTTTTTTGTATTCGCAGAATTTCATTCACTATTTTTGAAAAAGTTTGTTTTATAGCTAGGTGCGAAGAGGGTGTTGGGCATGTGCATAATGCATTTGCATGCATGTCACGTACATTACTACTGTCGCGACTGCGACTGCACTGCAGCAGCAACGCGTCACCTGTATTTTTATGTCACCCTCCCGCCCCAAACGCATATTTAATCGCTCGCAACAAAAGAATTTGTTCACTTGTTAAAAATAATACAAATAACACCACACAAGGTGTAAAATAACATAAACGAGAAAAGTGAATAGGGAATGGGGAAAGCCGAACAGTCGATACTCTACTGTGGAATGGAATTATGGAATAAAAGAGAGCGTTTTAATCTCTTTTGGAAGAGTAAAAGAGCGGGTAGAATAGAAAAAGGAAAGAGGAATTAAGGGGCATAAATTTGTCTCTGTGCATCTTTTTTTATTCCGCCGCAAACGCTGGAAATGCTCTCTCTCTCTCTCGCAACAATTCCATCTATGGCTCTCTCAGCCAACAACAACCATGGCAAACACCTGAGGATTGGGTCGCTTTTTATTTTTGTGTATTGTTTTCTGTGCCTCGGGGGACGGGACATGATCGATCGTGTCGACAAACGGGACACGACTCCTCTTCGTTTCATTTCACGCGAGCTTCGATTCGGTCGCTCTCTCACATGCAGTGTCTGCACTGTTGCAATTCCTTTATTTTGTCAATCCTTCCATCTAGCGATCTCTCTCTCTCTCTCTCTCTGTCAGCAGCGCAGCGCAGGCAGGCAGCCAAACTTTGTCATTAAATTGTACGAGCTTTGCACTCATTGTACACGCACTCCTGCAATTTCGTTCTCTCTGTGCAAGCAGCACCCATGCAAGCGCATGGGAAACAACGGTTGTTCTGTAAACTCCTCTCATTTAATTTCAAGAGCTTTGGCTCTCAATCCCGCAGTTTCTTCATTCCATTCTACCACTCCTTGCTCCGCCTGCTCTGTCTAGCAGTTCCTATATCGTTCCTTTTTTCTTTTTTTTTTCTCTTTATTTCTCAAACCACTAATTAATGGTTAACATTTGAGCAAAGTTTTTAACGCTCTTCCATTAGTTTGTCCTTCCATTTGCATGTCTTTCAATTACCGTTTAAATACAGACATAAATATGTGGAATTTGACATATGTTTGTAGCAGAGTGCTGGGTATGCATATTTCCGCACTTCGCTTAAAACTCTTTTCACGATCTTTGAAGACTTTGTTAATGTATTTCTTAAACGAACTTCAACGATCTTTAAACGACAAATTGAACGATGTTTCTCACACTCAAGTGGCAGTTTTTTCTCTACAAACGAATGAGCCAGCAATTAATGCAGACTTGAAGTTACTTTGAGACACACTTAAAGCTACTCTAAGCCATATATCCAGGGCTCCAGATAACTATACACTATGCTGTATATATTCTCGTCCATTTTCCCCTCAAAAATCTTCCTCCATTTATCTAGATCTCTATTTTATATCTGCTTGTTTGTGTCTGTATATTTTTGCTGCTGCTTGCCGCTGGCTGGTTGGCTGGCTGGCTGGCTGGCTGGCTGACTGAGTTGTGTGCCACATTTGGCGGCAAACAAATTAATTTTAGCGCCTACATGCCACTAATTGGCGCTTGAAAGAGTTATGTATGTATGTACATATGGGGGCGTGTGCGATACCTCATTCGATTGGCGGATATGTGGGACAAGCGTTTAATAATCCAAAAGCAGACAAATTGATGGAAAAATGATACTCGTGTGTGGCGCGGCACCCCCACCTGTCTATGCTCGATAATCAGGGCAAACCCCCACGAGGATGAGGAGGAGAAGGAGGAGGGTGGTGGTTCCACCAGCAACCACTTACAGCAGAAAAAAGGCCAAAAAACAAAGCAAAAGACGTTAACACAAATGCCACTCTTGACCCACAAATGGTTAACGAGAGATACGAGGCATGAGGCATGCAAATAGACACAATA